TAACGTGATCTTCCACTGAAATATTATAGACTGGAATAATTCTTGAATTCGTATCATCTGCTTTCACGATCCGTTCCTGAACGGAACTTTTTTTAAACCGTCGGGGGGTGGCACGGTGTGGCGGCCATTTTAGCCACTTTTAGGGCGGTGGCGGCAGCTGGACAGCAAAAAAACGCCCCCCTCCCTTTGCCCCAGAGGATCAAAAGGACCGTATTTTTGGTCAGTGGAGTACGACGGAGGTAATGGTGGTGGGCCAAAATGACGGGAGAGTGCAGCGGGCGGCGTCAGGAGCGTTCGGAAAAAATGAAAGCTCTTCTTCTGTCGCGTCCAGAAGTACTTTGCTTTTGATTGCTCCCTGATAATGAATCCCACGATAAGATCGGCCAGCAGTCCGCGGCAGCGGCGGTGCGTTGCGGTGAGGAAGCGCGCGGTGGGGGAGCGTCGCGCGGGCACCCTCCGCGGCGGCACTGGAGCTGGAGCATCACTTTATGTGCGGACACAGCACCGGGGCTGTGAGGACCCTCGACGGGGTGGTCCCCACCCGGGCGGGCCGTGCCGTGCGCGGGCGCCCGGGGCCGCCAGGCCGTGCAGAAGGACCCGCTCGCTCGCAGGGCGCAACTGCCGCCCGGGTCGAGGGGGTGGCCCTCCCCCTCCCCCTCATTGTCCCGCTCCCCCGGCGCACTACGCACGGCCGGGGCGCCACGCCTATTCACGGCTCCCCCCACCCCCTCCTCCTCACCCACCGCGAGAGCCACCCTTTCACCCCGCTATGGACACACACGGGCGCAAACACACTCTGGGGAGGAGGGGAGGCGAGGGCGGCCCTGCCACCCACCGCGCAGCCGGCCGAGCCCGCAGCACGCCCGGCCCGCACACGCTCGCCCAACTATTCGTACTACAACTTAATTCCTTTTATTTCTTTTACACGGCATACTACAACCACTGCTACTTCTGCTCGTAGAGACGTTTGCGGGGCGGGTACCGCCCCGGGGCCTCCCCGCGCTCGGGCCGAGCCGGGCAGCTCTGGGAGCCGACCAGCAGGGGCCACCGGACCAGAAGGTCACGCTCTGGCTACTCACCCAAGCCTCGCTCCCCGCGCTCCGCGCCCCGCGCCGCCCGGGCAATACCGCTATAGTAAGTGCGCCCGGCCCGCGCGCCTACCCGCGCAGCGCCCAGCCGCGCCGCGCCCGCCTGCCGTACCCGTCGGTGCAGCTGTCAGTCGCAGTCAAAACACGTTGGCCGACCCCAAACATTTCCGAAAGGTTTCCAGGGTTTCTTGACCCCACCGTGCGACACGCCCGACGACGGAAGACTTGCCGGTCCGCGGAAGGTTTGTTAATTCGGATCGTTCCCGCGGTGCCCTCCGGTCCCCTCCGAGCTCCGGGGCCCCGCGCGCCCAGCCCGGCCCATTCCCCGCCCATCAGCGCACAGACGCGGAACTCGACTCGGCCCCCGCCCGCCGCCCGCGCCACCACCGCTACCACGAAAATTGTGTAAATGCTCACATAATGTGACGACATCTGGCGCGGCATGGTCTGTCATTTCGAGGTCAGCAGTGCGCGGACACAAATAATTAGCCCTCCCGAATAATTAAAGCGGCAGAGCTAATCAAGAGAAGTGAAAGTGCAACAGCGGCCGCGGCCTGTGACTTATTGTGACCCCCGCGGTCCGCGGAGCCCAGCGCCCGGCAGACAGAGCCGCTGGGAACGCCCCCCTCCCCACCTGACCCCGCGCAGCCCGCGACAACCACTTTGTCAATTTTCGCGCCGAAATAAAAAAACTGGAGTGAAGGAATGACAATCCCTTTGCGCGGCTCCCAGCAACCTCGTCCGTCGCGGCCGCCGTGCGCGCCGATGGCGGTGAGGAGACGGGGAGGGGGCGGCGGCCCCAAGGGATGGATGGGCGGCGGACAAGTGACGCAAGCGAGTGGACCATTGTTCGTCGCCTGAGAATGGCGTCGCGTCGTGACGTCATAACCAATAAGACAAACGTCCTCCTGAACCTGGCGGCGGCCCGGCGGCGGGCCCTGCCGGCCCTGCTGCCACTGCCGCTGCTATGCCCTTGTGATAAAACAATGGCAAGCAAGTGTTGCGGCAGCTTACGCCCCGCGTAATTTCGCGACGTTTGCAAGTTCCTCCTGCTCCTCCCTCCCTCCCTTTCCCAGTCTCCCGGTGCGCGGAGCCCACCGGTTGCCCCTCGCTGGCCTCTGGCCTCGCCTGTGGCGGTGTGCCTGTGCATCGCCCCGCCCGCGCAGTTGCATCACCTTTCGAGGACGCCGATCACGCGAATAGTATAGTCCCGCACCGTCCAGGAGGCTGATTCGCGCCGTCCACCCTGGCAGTTAGACCCACTGCACGCTCGGGTGCAAGTGGGTTGCCTACTCGCCCGGTTAGACTCACCGCACGCACGGGTGCGGGCCGGTTGCCTACTCGCACGGCGCCATGGGCGGCGGATCAGCCAACTGGCATACCCTTATAAGTGCAGCGCTATGACAAAATTACGGAAAGATGAGATATATTTTTTCCATTACAAAATAAAAACTGACCCGTCCCTCGTCCCCCTGCGACGCCCTGCTCCGCCCCTGGCATGGAGCTCGCGACGAGCACATCGTATAATTTGATGCGTCCCCGTAATGGACGTGCAGGGATGCTTACTCACGGTGAGATAAGTGCAAGCGCGCGCGCGCACACACACACAGACACTACCCCTCTCACACACACACGCACGCGCACAGAAAAAGAGAAACACATATCCCAAGCCAAACCAACACCATCAGCAGCAGCCCAAAAGATAGAGAGGAAGGAGAGGGCGTTGGGCCGGGCGCGTCCACCGTGCGTGTGGGGCCGGCAGGGCGGGGCGACCCGGCAGGCACGTGCATTGGGCCAGGTTAGGGAAGGCAGGTGAGTGAGTTAGACAAGACAGACAGGCACCGGCACCGTACCCCGGGGAGATGGTAGAGCTGGTCTTACCCGCGCTCGATCGCGACTTATTTCTGGACGACACTTTGGAGCCCCCGAGGCCCCCGAGAGGGCTGGGCGACGTCTTAGTGCCGAACATGTGGTGGTTGAGGTGGTGGGGGTAACCCATGTAGCCGCCACTCTGGCCGCCGTACTGCAGGGGAGGGGGAGGGTAGTGACCCGCGTCCTGCATGTGCTGCTGCTGCTGGTCCATGCAGTCCTGCTCCTGTCTTCTGCTCGGCGACGAAGAGGGCGCGGGGTCGTCCACGGGGGACGTGGCCGCCGACGAACAGCTAAAGGCCGAACTCGACGAGGTGTTGTTGTTGTTATTGTTGCTACTGGAGGATGCCGTACCTTCTCGCTGCTTGTTGGACGATGCCGCGTTGGAGCAGCTGGAGCCCAGCATGGAGGGCTTCACGTCGAGCGGGCCGACACCCGCGACGCCGCCCACCCCGCAGCCAGACACGTCCTGGTGCTGCATGAAGGCGGCGCCCATGGCGGCTGCGTGCGCGGCCTGCGCCGCCTGCGCGATGGCCGCGTTGTAGTCGTTGGACGACGACGCCGCCGTTGACGCTGCCGTCACTGAGTCGGGCGTCGCGTCCTTGGGCGGCGTCGGGGGAAACGAGAACAGGTGATGGTGCTGGGGGACGTGGTGACTGCTCACCGACGGCGATGAGGGCTTCTGGTCCTCGTTCTGCTCTGTCCGGTTATTATTATTACTAGTACTATTATTATTGTTGTTGTTGTTGGAGGTGTTGGTGGGCGTTGTCGAGGGGTTGTTGGTGGGGGTCGTGCTGGGGTTGTTGTGCTGCTCGCTGTTTGACGACGAGCTGAAGGGGTTGCACCACGATGAGGACGACGAGGAGGCGGGTTTGGACGACGACGCCGATGACGCCGCGTCCGAGGACGACAGCCAGGGATGGAGCGGTGAAGGGGGGAAGTGGTGCGGCCTGCACATCTGCGAGCCTGACATCCGCGCCGCCGCTGCAACAGAGGAGAGAACACCGAGCCGTTAGAACAGGAAGGTTTGGACGAGCAGGTGGGCCTGACGTCACACGCGGTGGACAGGTGTAAGGGCGCGCACGGGCCGGCGGGGCGTGGCGGGGCGCGGCGGGGCTCCCGCTCGGACAGGTGCGCCGGCCCGGCACCGCCAGGGCGGGTCCAGCCCCAGCGGGTCGTCATAATACGTTGGGTTCGCCCGTAAATGACGTCCGCGGGGCGCTGCCGGTTGATGGGAGCCCCTGCACTGCCCCGGCACCCAGGGCCCGCCCGAGGCCCCCGCGGGGCCCAAATATCGCGACCGGCCGCGCGGAGAGTAACGAGGTTACGCCCCTCCGTTCAATGAACGCCCAGGAGCGCCGAGGAGCGAAAGAATGGGGAGCCAGGAGTGGGAGGAGCGCGCCACTCGTATTTTTCACTCCTTTAAATTATGGTTTTGGGGAGGGGATCGCTCCGTCTCTGTCGCTCCCCCGGAAGAGTCTCATCCTTCGCTCCCCCTCTCCTTCTCTTTCTCGCGCGCTGTCTGCATTTATTAGCTGAACGCCTGCTGCGTTGTCCGGCATACCCTCCAGAGCGAAAGGGAATATTAATACCACAAGGAAGGCGCATTTGGGCTACGCTATCTCTCTCTCTCTGCCTCCTTGCTCGCTCGCTCTCTCGCTCCCTCGGTTCGAGTTGAGTGCTTCCGTCCGACCCGGAGCGGACCGAGCCGAGCGGAGCTCCGCAGTGCGCGCGCGCGTGGCTCTCTGCGGCGTGCAAAGTTTGCTCCAGTCGCATGAGAGAAATTTGCACGGGAGAAATGGGACTAGGAGCCACGTTCGCACACACAGACACATGCGGGCAGCTACTGGACTACTGCCCACCGCCTTGGGATCGAGCCAGGATGGGCTTCAACTTGTCGGCAGGTTACTCACACACGCACACATACACACACACGCTTTGCGCCGACCAGAAGGAGGCAAGGCTGCCTGCGTTTTACACGACTCTGAAAAATTGGTGCAGCTCAGCGATGTCGGGAGACGAGCGAACATCGCATTGCATCCAGGCGGCAGCAGCATGCCCGGTTTGTTGGGCGGGGCGGGGTGAGGTGAGGTGGTGTGGGGTGGGGCGGGTGGCTGCCTCGGTTAATTAGGAATACAGAAAACAGTGGCTGAGGCCGGGGGGACCCTCCTGCACGGCGCAGGCCCGGGCCCGGACCCGTGGGGCGGCAATTACGAATCCAGCAGCAGCATTACCTCGGTGGGGCCGGCCGGGCGGACCGGGCTGCTGCTGAGGGACTTGCAGTTTTTATGCACGCGGCCCCCGTCGTTCGGCGGGTGATCCGGAGCGCCTTAATGGTATGCCGTGCGCGTCGCGAGCGCGAGTGAACGCCTCGCCACACCGCACCGCACCACGGCACCACGGCGGCGGTACCGGTGGTGTGTCATTCGGAGCAGCCACCAACGGACTTGGAGGCGCTTCCTGTGCGGCTGCAGTCTCACGCACACACACACACACACGCACGCACACCATTTGGATTGGGTAATAATTTGATTAAGTGCGGTCCAGCTGCTGGCCCAGTCGTATGAGTTTGTGTGAGTGCGTGTGTGTGTGAGAGAGTTCGGACGTGATAGTATTCGGACCCCCTCGCCTCCTCTCCGTAACCCCCGCACAAGAGTGAATGAAGCGCAGCGGGTACCCACCACTTCACTACACTCCACACACTTCATTCATTCACTCTCACGACTCCGCGCGCTTCACAAAAAAAATATTATGTAGTGGTTGGTACCAGAGAACTGCCGCCCAGGTAACACTACTACCGTTTTGTACCGTCACTATCGTAGTCGGCAGCGCGCAGTTGCCCATGAGAGAGGAAAAACGAAAAACACATCGTGAAGGGTTTGAATGGAAGGGAATCGACGTAAAGGATGCGGAGGATACGCTGAGAATGGAGCAGTGCAGCAAAAGCTCTCGATTAGAGCCGAGGAAAAAAGGGAGTATGAATGACATCGCATCGCTCACTGCGGGCCTAAGTCGGGCTGACCATGCATATGGGGGAAGAGGGGGGGCGATCGAAATATAGTCATAGTGGAAGCAAGAAGGCGAGGAGATTGACGGTTTCAGTTTTGTGAATGGAGTGACTGCCCATCACGAATGTGTAAGCAGGCTTCCGGGGCCGATGCGCCTCGTGAGAGTGAGTGAGAGCGAGAGAGCGACAGAGAGAGAGGGAGAGAGCGCAAGTGTGTGAACATCGAGTGGGTGTGAGTGAGGAGGTTAGGTTTGGCCGCGCTGGACCACTCAAACGCCCCGGCGAGCTCCGACTCGGGGCCGGACACGAGTGCATGACAGCCTCCGTGATTGACTGATTGATCCCTAGCCCAGCTCGCCGCGACTCCGGGCCATTTTCATTTTCACTTTGAGGGAAGGAGGAAGGGGAAACGGTTTTACGAAAGCACCCCCGCCC